TTTTTTTTTTTTTTTTTTTCTTGAGTCAACTTATGTGTATATCTTATTATGTTTTTATATGAAGAAATGGATAAAGATGAAATAAAAGGATAAAAATACATATTATTTTTTTTACTAGTCAACTTTAGCAAATTAAAAAATAATAATTTTAATTTATCTTTTTTATTATGGAAAATTTTTCAAAATGTCAATATTTTAACATTTAAGAGAGCTCATTAGCAATACTTTTAATATTTAGTAAAAGTGTCAAATTTTAATTTGTTATGTATCTTATTTATGTTTTTATTATTTATTTTTATTTAAAGAATATAATTATTTAATAACAAAAGGGAGAAAATCAAGGGAGAGAATATTTCAAAAAAAAATAAAATATATATATATATATATATATATACACACACACACACATACAATCCTCGAGTTGAATACTATGATTTGAATGGAACAAACATAATGTGCATCGAAAGTTTGTCATTTTACGCTTATCGAAAGTTAATTTGATTAATTTTTAAAAATTAATTAGATCACATTAATTCGATATTTTAAACAAAAAAATTAGATATTCTAAAAGTACATGAAAAGTACTATAAATTACAATTTTTTGCATGTTAATATGATGAAAAAATACATCTTGAAATGTTAGTCAAAATTTTTATAATTTGACTTTAAAATTGGAAACCATAACAAACAATTTCGGATGAAGAGAATAGTTTGTTAATGAATTTTGTTACATATATAGTTTTGCGTGTTTTTTTTTTTTTGCATAATTAATTTCGAATTTTTAAACCAAATATAGGGATTCAAGAAAGTGTCATCCAAAAAGTGCGAATTCTCACATAAGTTCAAGAAGGGAAATAAAGTGATAATGCATAAATACTCCCATAATTTATGTTTGAAATTTCATAGACACACTTATACTATACTAAAGTTTTATTACCTCCATAAACTTATTTTAATAATAATTTTTGATCACTTTTCAGCCTACGTGACACTATCTTGTAAGATCAACACTGATTGACTTCTTTTTTCAATGTAATGCCACGTAGATCGAAAAGGGGTAGAAAATTACTTATAAAATAAGTTCAGGGAGGTAATGGGACATTAGTATAGTATAAGTGTGTTTCTAAAATTTCGAACATGAGTTGAGGAGTATTTGTGGATTTTCCTGAAAATAAACATTTACTTGCAAAAATAGCCATAAAAAAGTGACCAAAGTGTTTTTCCTTTATATTTAAACTTTAAAGTCATGTTCTCATGAAGAAAGCCCAAATGTGGCTACAATTGAAAGACAACAGTTGCTTTAGAATGTGTGTGTGGGGGGTGGGGGGGGGGGGGGGACGGGTACAATTGCAAATGCAAATTGCTCATAAAATTGTTGAATTGCCTTTCTAAGTATGTAGGCAATCAACAAAAATAAAATTAAAAGATGACTTTTGTTTAGCCAACAAAAATAAAGTTAAATTTTTTTTTTGTTGAAATAAGTAAATTGCTTTATTTTTAGACAACTAATTTTCTTTTCATATTCATAAAGTCTAAGATTAACTGAAATGGTATTATATGTGTTGTTCAACAAATAAGGTTAATATTGATTTCCCTTATCAACATCTCTTAATCGAATTAGATGCACCAAACTTAACTTACGTATAACAAGGTTTACATCTTCTATTCGATTTGCGAGCTATTTGATATATAAAATTCATATCTCATGTAAAACAATTTTTTTTATATATATAATTTATGATCTTTAAGATAAAGTAAGAAATTGTATTAAATTTTATATCGATCAGATAATTAGATAATTTAAAATAATCAAACAAACACTAAAAGTTTCTAATTCACAACTAGCAAAGCTTACTTGACTCAACTCACTTGATTGAATTCGACTTGACTAGATGAATTCAAACTTAAACTTTATTACAAACTCAATTGACTCAAACTTTATTGCAAGCTTAACTGAATTTGATTCCACTCTATCAAATCAACATAAACTCTATAACAAGATCGATTGAACTTAATTCGTTATCGAGACCTAATTATAACTTGGCATGCTTCTTTATATTCATAGCAGCTTCTTTGACATTTTTTGGTAGAGGCATGTTTGTCTTGATAGTAACTCTTGATGAAGAAATCAAAATTCTTTCCCCTAAAATTAAGGAATTATTTTTCCACAAATTCACTTCCCAAACATGAATTGATTTTCCAACATTGAGAGGTTTAGCCTCAGCATATACAATTTCACCAATATTTGCACTTCTTAGGTGGTGGATGCTGAGGTGGACCCCAGCCACCCTATCAAATCCGGACGCCACGTAGGCGCCTATGCTAGCCAGAGACTCGGCTGTTAGAGCCGAGACTCCACCATGCAACACCTCAAAAGGGTTGCAACATTTTTCAGTCACTGAAAAGTAACCGAAAATTTTATGAGGGGAAACCTCTGTAATTTTAAAATCGATAACATCAAGTGGTGCATCTAAAAGATCTTTGATTGGAATTGATTTTGCTGATGGCTCCATTTTTTATTTTTTTTTGTTTCCTTTGATTTATTTTCTCTTGGATTCTTGGAAATGATGTTGAGGGTTGGAAACAAAAATCAATTTATATAGAAATTTATTTATGGATTTGGATTTATTTTCTACTTCACAAAAAAATAAATATAAAAAGAGTTTTTTTTTTTATTAATTGAGGAACTAGATTGATGATGACATGATAGTAATTATGTTTTTGCTTTGTGGTTGGAACAGTTTTTTTTTTTTTGTAAAATAATGTTGTCTGAGTATATTTTATTATGTTTTTTTCTTAATCAACTTTAGCAACTTAAGAAAAATAATCTGAGTTTATCCTTTTTATTATCAAATAATCATTGTTCAAATTAATTGAAATATTAATAGTCGATAGATAATAGATAACATGTGAATATTTTTATATTTTTTCGTTAATCTCGAGAAATGGAAGAAATTTAATTAGCAGAAAATTAGTTACCGATTTAAGAATGTAACATGTCATTTTTATTCACATTATAATAAATATTTTTAAAAAATTGAAAATCAAGATAAAGTGAAGATCGATCGATTTATATTGTTAAATTATCTTTAATAAAGATAATTTAATTAAATAAATACTTAATTAAATTATATTGTTAATCAAGAGTCGATATTCTTATTAAAATAATTCAGGTGATATTTAAAGTTTCAAAAAATAGATTATCAACTTATGCAATCAGAGCATATATAATAGTCACAAATTTATTTCTTTTTCCTGATTTATCAATTCATCATAATTTAATTTTTTTAAAAAAGATATTAAATTGCTTGTGGCAAAAGTTGCTTATATTATAACGTATAAAAATTGAACTCTAATTTCTTTTGTTGTTAGGTGTAATTAAACTCTGTAAACGTGATTTTATTACTTTCTTGTAAAGGTTAGGATCTCTTCTATAGATTCGTGACTCAAGTAAAATAGGAAAATGACATTTATAGGCATATTGTAATTATGTTTTTAATTAAGAGTCGATATTCTTATTAAAATAATTTAATATATATAAAAAAATAAACACATAAAAAATTCGATAAAGCAATATTTATTATTATACTTTATATACATTTAAGAGACAATGTATATATACTAAAAAATAACTTTAAATATACAAGTATCTGAATTTTGATCGAAAGAAATTCGAAATCAATTGCACTCATTACCTCATGTTTCATCTCAAAATATATCAATTATTTGTAGTTATTTTTAATCGATCTGATTATATGAATTGCTTTTTGTGATAAATATAATTCAAAATTTCTTTTTTGGTTTCTAAATATTTAATATACCCACTTTAAAATCTAATTAAAATTGAAATATCCCACCGCAATTCTTGGTCTTGGTATCATTTAATGTCTTAGAAAGTTAAGCTTTAATAATAACCTCTATAAAATAATATTTTTCTTAGATCTCAATCTAGGCTAATGAAAATAATTATGCATTTCAAGAAGATAATGAAATAATATAGTTTCAGAAGACTTTTTTCATGAATATATAGTTTCATTAATATCATAAATTAATAAT